CACAGAGGTTTTAACTAATCAGTTTCTGATTTAAAATCCTATACTCAATCAATGCCATGCATTTAAATCCAGACGGTTTTCTAAAAGTCTTTACTTCAATCCACGCTGAATCTTCCTCCACGTTTTATTTTTTTATTGAGAGTTGTTTTTTCTCCGCAGCATTTTCTCTATGAGCCAGGAATTAATACATGATCCCTGACAATAAGGTGAAATCATACGGATGAGCGCTCCATCTGAAAGGAGAAGAAACTTGACACAAAAGAGCCAAAGGGGGATCCGTCCATTCTCTTTAACCTCTCCTCATTGTTTGGCACCCTCCTCTCCCCCCCTCGCTCTCTATCTGGCCAGGAGTCACACAGAAAACAAAACTCACTTGTTTATATCATCTGAAAGATCACAGGAGGCTGTTTGACTCTGCAGTCAAACCCTCTTGATCTGCAGCACATAAAGCGGCTCAGGCTGTGAGGAGTCAGCTCAGATAAATGATCTTTGAGGAAGACGATCACTGGAGGTTCCAGAGACTTCAGAAGACTTTCAGATGATGTGTTATTTAGGCTTTTTATAACCTGAATTAAAAGTTAATGGACAAAGTTCGGCCGAAAATAAACTTAAGATTGATCTGGTTTTATTCCTAAATATCTTAATGTGTCCAGGAGATAAGTGATGTCAGAAAAGCGTAAAAACTCAAGATACATGTTATGTTATAAATGTCTTTGTGTCGGAATGGACTCACAAAAATGTACAAAAAAATACATAAACTCGCTTAACATCTGCCACCAGACGTAAATTACAAACAGGCCTATAAATCTACTACATATCTCTGTTAAAACTGTAGGTTACTTCCTTCATATAAATATAATAATTACCTTTTTTTTTCTATCACACATAAATACATGTTTAAAGCTCTATGATACCTGATCATTGATGAAGATTCAACATTGCTATTAGAAATAAATTGACGTTTTTGGTTTCAATTTCTCACGAACTCTAAAAAACTAAATAAATGATGGGGCATTTTATTAGACTTTAATTGTAATAAATGACACTCCATATTAATATATATTCATATGTTGGTCTAAACCGTTGCAAGTCACAAAGTCTAATCACGCGCTGTGATTTGATCTAAAATATCAGACAAAGTGCTGCCAGGGTAAATCCAGTCCCTGTAGTAACTGAACCGTTTAGCAAAGTGTAACTGAACCTTTACTAGATAAAACACTAAACACATTATTACTATACGAGATGTGGAGGACCTGACCAGAGGTGACCCTCTGTGTTTCCTTCCAAACACCACACCACCACCTCCTGTTCAGAGGGGGAGTCACAGAGGAGCTGATCAAAGAATGAGAAGGTTCGATCAAAGTCACAACACAGCAGGAGTATGAATATGAAGTAGACATCGTCTTAGCTGGACGCACTTGTTGTTCTTTGGGTAAATTCGAACATTAAACCGAGGAAATATTTATATTTCTTAACACATTTGAACGTGATTTCTGTTATAAATATATGTTTTTTTTTCAATGTCTTATATGTGCGGAGAAAATTATGGATAGATGGACAGAAGCGTTTCACATGATATTAACTCTGTCCAAGCAGCCTCCATACAAGCGAAAAATGGGCCACAACAAATTCGTTCGTACGCAGGAAAATGTTTACTAGTTCAATTTCCATCATAAATAACCACGCACGTACAACCCTGGCACAGCGTATTAAATTGAACGCACAATCATGTTCTTGCTGTGCAACTACAAACATACAGTGTGAGTCCAGCCAGTCAAAACCGTGTGTTGTAAATACTATTAATCATGCAGCATAGAATGTTATAAATCACGGTTCACTCCGAGCACTGATACACATCATCACCGATTTCTTTTGGCCGCCTTCAACAAAAAAGACCAATAAAGCGCAGCCCCCTGCAGAAAACCAGATGTGCTCACATGCAGGGAATTTACAGAAATGTTACAACAACGACATGTTTCAAAAATGAAATGTAATAAGCGCAACATGACGTTGGACTCCATCATGCAGTAAAAGTCAATATTAAAGAAAGGATGTAAATACATTATTGAGTTGGACGTCTTAGTTCCGGGCAGCAACAAGCACATACAGGCCAAATATAGATGTGAACATTTTGTATTATTTATGTAAATATTCTAATATTATTTAATTGTATATTTATTTTAATTTATATACTACATTTTGCTTAACGGGCCTGTATTGTTCAGCAGAGGACAATTATGTTTTTTAATCTTTTTTGGTTTACCTGAATTAAGACTCACACTAGGTTAAAGTTATCGGCGACCAGGTAACATCATCTATTGCCATTGGAAGACTTGAGGTGACCTCTGTTGAATAATTACTGCAAAATGTAAATCCATTGAACAATTGTGGCTTCATTAGGTACATTCAGTGTTGACAGGAGGGGCAGCTTCAGTCTAATACGTGAGAGGTTTGAATCTCACTGTGGGTTGAACTCTACAGCACATGCCTCCATCCACAGCCAGAAGTGTGGAGTGTGTGCCAGTCGTCCATTGAAAATTAAGGGGAAACGTTTTCTTATGTGGACTAATGAGGCAACGTTTCTTTTAAGACGCAATAAAAGCACTAAATGTGATGGGAAATTGCCTGAAAACCCCATAAACAAAAAAACTGAATCACAAACTCCTTTACCGAAACTTTATTGTAAATAGGTTTCTGATCCGTGCTTTACAAGGTAATTTAGTTAAACAAAGCAGAGAATGATTACTGTCACCCTTGGGCTAAATTGTTGTGTTTAATTGTGCAGCATTTAGCATTTTTGGTGCCGTGTCACAGATCATAAAGTTGCTAAACTACGTGGTTGCCTGCGGCTCCAATGCTCTGCTCTCGTTTTGCCTTAATAATGATAATAAGGTGGATTCTGTGGCGCTCTAATGATGATCAATAGGTGCAGGAGTAAAGCCTTATAGCTGCACTGTGGGCTGATCTCTTAACAAGACACATGCTGCTGACTAAATGTTCATTTTTGTTTGGTTGGTCAGTGAGGGGCTCAGACCTGATGGTTCAGTAGTGCAACTACTCAATTCTTGGCACAAAAAGAAAAATGGTCTTGTTGCAACATGGGACAATCAAAAGTAAAACTTCAGGCTGTAAAAGGATTAGTATATGTTGTTAATTAAAAACACCTTCTGCATATGAGTGATGGGGCTGAATAAGGGTGAGTGTTTCAAAGGTCAGCTGAATTTTGTTTCTTATCTGTGAATTGGATAATTACGCCATTACAATATTGTGATATAAGTCATTTTTGTTCAAATTCTACATTATCACAAGTTTGAAATTGTGAATTCTTCCTCTCGTACTGAAACATTACTTTGTCAAAGACAGCTCAAAAATAGTAGGGACATTTTCAACAGCATTGGTTGCAGATTTTACTCTATAGATTTCACTAAGGTGGAGCTCAGGCCTTAATTCCTTTTATCAAATAAAAAGCATAAATGAAAACGTTTGAAAATGTATAATATGATGACGCTGTGATGGAGATACCCAGCTGAGGTTGAGTCAGTTCTGAGGGAGAGAACTTTCAAACGGTTCTGTCAGGGGCATAAAGTGATGGAAAACTGTCCTCATCTGATGCTGCAATATGAAAGTATGACGACCAGTGCCACCTTGTGGCACATCAAGGCACCTTCATGCTCCTGGAGATGTACATACAAAGTGATGACCACTGCATGAGGACCCTGCTTGTTCACCAGCCTTCAGAGGTGACACTGCTGTTGTGATATGCTGCACACTAGTGCTTCAACCCTGAGGATGACTGAAAACACTTCAGTGGAACATTACCACCAACAGTAGCTCCGTTTGAAAACTCCTGCACAAGTGCTGTCGAAAACATTCACAATGGCCTTGTTCTGTTCAACCAACCAATAGTAGTGACAGTGAGCCAGTTTTCACAAAACCAAGACCCCAAGAGTGAAACAGCGGAATGGAATCCAGCATTATCAGCTTTATTATATATCACACTAGTGTTTCCTACAGTGATGCACTGAAGTTCATTTGTTTCTTAGAAAGTCAATCCAGAAGCAAAAGGCAAAATTCCCACGATTGTGTGTATCATTAAATGTATTGTTGTTTGGCAGCTTGGGAAGTCTTTCAATGAACAGAGAGAGTTGTCAAACGAGTCCCTGCTGGCAACAGCAAAAACTGACTGAGCGTCTAATGACACAGATCTGCCACCACAAGTACATTAAAGTCTCCACTGTTTCATCTTCATCCAGGTATTCACACTGCACAGACGTGAATGTTAACCATGGACTCAACTTTTTGTCAAGTGAATCATATTAAAATTCTTGATCATGGTCTCATATGAACAGATTAAAACATGGATTAAATTATATCCAGGCACTAACCCAAAAGTATGAGCAACATGTGGTGCATGTCAGATAAAATAATATCAACATGAAATGAGCAAATAATTTATGAAATGGCAAAAAGCAGAAGGGAACAAACTGAGAAATCAAAGTTTTCAGGTACATGGCCCCAAATCCCAGATACAAATTTATATCCATCACAGCAGAACCACACTCTGGGTGCCAGTTACATAGCATTTCCAATAGAGGGCAGCAGAGGCCATGAATAAAACCACGAGGGCAGAGCACCAATATTTATTGTTCAAAAAGCACAAAGCCATGTTTCCTCGTCGGGAGGGTTGAGTAATAATTCAAATTATTTTTGTCAGCCAAGTGCAAATGAATGAGGAAACCATGATTTATGAAAAGCCACATCGTTCACTCACAGTTCATCAGTCACATATTTCCAGACATAACCACTGGCTTCTTTTAGTTTGTAGAGAGAAAATACAATTCTACTTTGACTTAAACTATTGTTAGAGTTGTATTTTAGTCTGAACTGTGACTGAAAAAGAATCAGAGTTCTTCAGAAACTCAACAGCTAAATAAGAAACAGGCACAAGTGGATACATGAACATAAGTTTTATTATATAATATGAGACATACTGTGTAGAGAATGTCATTATAAAGAACTGGTATATGTGTCTAGTATTTCTATAACAGTTAAGGCTCTATTGTTTCATATGCATTGTGCCTAAGGCTATAAAAATATTATTTTTTGTTGAGCTTCACCCCAAGAAGCAGCAGCACTGTCACAACTTCTCTGGTTTTAAACAACGAGAAAACATAAAAGAATTCTGAGGGAACACACTGTTCAACCAAGGCAACACGTAGGGACATCTAATTCTTACATAACATTTTCAGCCACCATGTTCAACTCGTTCAAAGTTTACAAAACACTGCACAGTGCTCCTTTAAGACACGTTAGTCAGACCAAGGGTTATGGCAACACAACATATTTCTCTTAATGGCATACGGAGCTTTGATCAGCCTTGGTAAGTAAGCAGCCGTTAAAGCCCGGCTCAGAAGCATCTCTTATTGGTTTATTATTTTAAGGTTTTCATCGGCATGGTTGGCATTCAGCAAATTTCCTGTGGAAAGTTCTGCACTACTTGCTGGAATGTAACACACATGTCCTCTAACATGAGTGTGCAGCTATAGCACGAACCAACTGGGTAGGGCATGAAACAGCACTATGTGTCCTGCCAAAACCATATGATGCATTTAATGCACTGCAGGCTGTGGTGTGTATATGTACATGTGTTTGTACGTTCATTCTGTATTTTGTTGACATGTGTTTATATAATGTATATGTAATAGAGGAGTGTATGTTGTTTTCTTTTGTGTGTTTCTCATCTCTCTTCTTGCAGGAGCTGAAGCCTGTCCTCTGCGTAGTAAGGGCTGCTGTGACCGGTATCAATAGCCTCACAGTCATCTGTGAAAAACACCAGGTCCTGCCAATGAAAAACAGAGACATGTGGTCAAGCCACTCAGGCTGGAAAACAAGCCATGTTGAGAACAAAAACACTGCACACTCTTAAGATCTTCTCACCCGATAACAAATCCTGGTGATGATGGTGTACAGGTTCTGGATTTTACGTTTCAGCAGCACCATTCTGGGACGCTCTCTGCAGTACTGGTTGGGATGGTTCAGCACCACATAGAGAAAGTCACGAAGCTTGGTGGTGACACATGAGTTCTGCAAAGACAAAACTAGAGTTTTAAGATGAACAACATGCAGCCTCATCCATTTTATTCTCATTTTACAAACCCTCAAACAAAACATGGATCATCTTCAGATAAGATGATTAAATCACACAACACAAAAACAAACCAGAAACACAATGCATTGGTTTGATTAGTCTGATACTGAATAAGCTTTGTGAAAGCAAAATGTACAGTTCCTCTCTAGCTGGGGTCATTTTCTTAATTGATTCTGTAATGTATGATGCAGTTTAGCCTTAAATATCAAACAGGACTTCTGATAGTGGACATTAGTGGTAACTCCCACTGCCTGGAAATCCCCACATTTCGTGATTTTGCTCCAAAGGAACGGTTGTGGTTTTAAACTCTTCTTTGTGAGCAGATAATGACAAACACTTTATGAACAGTCCATCTCTAACAAAACTGAGGGTCGATCATCAAAACCAATATCACTTGCACAATTAATTAACAATACATCTCTATATATTAAACTTTTCTTGTATTGCTATTGATGGAAGTAAGCTTGCGATAAACATACTTGTCCCAACATCACATGCATTGCCCCATTGCTTTACACTTACATGCACGTCAAGGAAGATCGTAGGTAGGACTTCAGCGCACGTTTTCTGCAAACCCAGAACATCATCATGAGAATATACACAGAGCGGAGCTGTCACAGCCTGGCGTGCACACTGTCACAGAGCAGCCCACTCACCGTGCGGTGGTACGTGTGGATCTTATCCAGCAGAGCCATGACTTCTTTGCTCAGGCCGAGCGCTCTGGAGTAGCAGGTCGGAGGAGCGCACTCCGACAGGCTGAGCAGGCAGAGGAGGCTCAGCAGAGCGGCCAGTCCCAGCCTCATGTCGGGTTATCTCAGTGAGCTGGTCGGTGTCTGCTTCCAGCTGCTCGTGCAGCCAACACTGAGCCAAACAGTACAGAGGGGACCCGCCGCAGTTTTATGGATGGAAGGGGTAGAAAAAAAAAACCGATGGATGATCACGTGGAAGTTCCGCAACACTCGGGGGGAAAACGTTTGGGGGGTCTGCTGTGTTTTTGTGGAGTAAACAAGTGCTGATGACTGGGGGATAATAACACCATCAGATATTTTGCAAGTGCCCCCCACATGTGTGGGTTGTCAGTTCCCAGAAACAATTTTTAAATTATTATAATTATCAGTGGAAGTCAATAACCTACATGTCAAAAAACAGGACACAAATGAGGGAAAAGTAAAGACTTGGAATCATAATGTTCACATGATGTGATTCAAGAGTGTTTGACAACTTGAAACTATTCATAATCACTTATCAATGTAAGGATTGATCATGAAAGGACTTTGTGTTTGGACACATTTGGATACCTTTTTATATTGAGCACATGGAGGCAATCCTCAAATCGAACCAGCATAAAACAACCACCATCAGGTTTGGTCATGGATGTTTTAGTACAGGTTTTATTTGAGTCTGTTCTTTTCCAGTAAACCGAGTAGTGGTGTGCAACCTTTGGATGGGAGCCTGTAGCTCTGTGGACTGAAGGCAGTTGTGGAAGAATAATAACCGGTGAGTCAACCACTTATGTTTGACCTTGCAAATCAACCTGCCTATTACAATCTTAGGAACTGAGAAGGAGAAGGAATAACTGGAAACAGTCAGCTGCCTTTACTTGAAAAGCTAGAAGCTACATACATGTTACAAAAAAATGGCTGTTTTTGCTACAAAGAAAAACTTTATGAATTATGTTGTATTTAAGTAACATCATAAAGTACCATCATTATAACAAATCTTGCAAAGCAATATTTGTAAAATGTCACAAAAGGTTTGTCGGGGCCACTGAACCTTTCTTTAGATTGAGGAAATTCCTCTTCCTTTTTCTCTTGTGGACAATCACACAGTCACGAGCTTCAGGTGGATCCCGAAACACGAACAGCCGCTCTCCTGTCACAGGGACGTCCAGTGCACAGCTAGCTGAGGCTGAGCTGTGTAATGTTTCATTCACTGCGTCCCCAGCCTTCCCTTTTACAGCGTCACTTTGCTGCTGTTTAACCGTGTTTTCAGTCACAGTTGATTTACAAACACGCGGTTGTGTTTCAGTGAAACTCTCCTTCTTTACTTTCTCTGGTTCCACATCTCTTGGAAGCAGAAGGTGAGATGAGGGCAGCAGTTTTTCCATCAGACTGTGCCTCTTTTCCTGGAGCCTGGGAGATGTGGAGGACAAAAGCTGTGTTGTTAGTGGGACGGGAGTTTTTGAGTGCTTACCTCATGTATGTGGTCATTGCAGCCCAGCCATGATGAACTGCATATTATGCTTTAATAAAAAGGATCTGTCTATGATGTTGGTGACCACTGAACTAAAAATATTCTTTATATGGAAGCTGGTAGCACAAGTCAGACAACTCACCGCTCTCCGTCCACATTGCAGCACATATTTTTATGCACCATGTCTTCTCTCAGTTTGACAGAAATAAGTCGATTGGAACCCACAGCACACCTGGTCAGAAAGATTATGAGGCTGGTAATTATGATTCAGTCTCTGTGCACAAAGTCAGCTTTGATTTAAAACACTCAAAGATCCCCTAGCTATCCGATGCACTGTAATAACTTTTCATCGCTTTATAGAGAGAATTTCACTGAAGTCAAATATGTTACTTCCTCTCATTAGTGGAGTACAAGTCAGGCCTATCAAAATAATAAAAAATACAAGGTTCATTTTTATAGGGATAAATATTAAAGATCGCCTACGCACCGTAGAACTGTGTTGCTTAAAAAATCTTGTCCGATGGAGAGTAATGGTAAATCATATGCATCATTTGGTTATGTGATATTTTTCAACATTTCATTACCTGTAAAATAACCACTTACCACTCCACTGATTCCACTGTGTACAAATGTAAAATAAGTAAAAGCAGGTTTTGGTCAGGAGGGATTGGTAATGTGTGAGCTCCTGCTTTTTGATTAGTTACATATGGATTAGATGCAACACCTCCTTCTAAGCACACTTTCACATTTAGACGATGTACACAGAATGGTCAAACTGAGGGAACAGACCAGAACAAACAGGATGATGCCATAAACACAAGCAGGACAAAGAAGAGGAGCGGATGAAAGAAACAGTGGGAGTTTAAGGTAGACGATTCTTTAGATTTTCATTTTTATGTCCAATTTAGCAAAGGACACCAAGATGTGGCTTATTTCTGTCTACAGAACGGCACAGACATGCTTGCATTTTTTATGAATGCAGTTCAGATCAGTAGCTAAATGACTGTATGAAATTAAGTGCAATAACAGCTCATCTAACCTTGACCAGTCAGATCCAAAACACTCTCACTCTCAAATTAAATTTTAGTTGACCCTTTTAAATAGAACGAGTCACTTCTTAAAGTATGCCCAAATGATTTTCTGCAAACAAAACAAAGCATAAAGAAACAGCATTGAGAAAGAAAAGTCTTGAATACTGTTCCAAACAGCGCATTTTCATTCCCCCGTCCTTGGGCCACACAGCTCTGATCCAAAGAGACCTCATGCATGAGACATTATTCATCTCAACTCCAAACTCAGCAAGAGCCAGACATGAGTGTTCCAGTGTATCAGGAAGAGAAGGGAAATTAAATGTTGAGTCAAATCCCTTTTCCTTCCATCTTGGCTCAGGGAAAATGGCTCTTGTGGAACTGTGTTCAGACAACATTTATTTCAATTGAAGACAATGCTCGCAGATGGCTGTGCTTCAGCCAGCTGCTGTGGAAACTGAACTGCTTTCTTTTAAATCAGTGACTTCAAATACAAAACTACTTTCTTAAACCACAGAATTGCTGGAGACAAAAATGTTCTATTCTTTCTTTTTTTCATTAAAAAAAGAGAGAAACAAAAGCTTTTGGTTCCAAGCTTAAGACCTTTTTGCCAGATGGATGAGACAAACAGAATTGTATGATAATGTTAAATAAACAAAGTATATCCATTCAGCCCCTTTTCAGAAAAAAAACAATATTTTGATACTTGACTTGTACATTGTGTGGGTACTCACAGCTAAGTTAACGAATGTCTTCTAAAATAAAGTAAAATAATGAGGACCAGGACTTTTTATGAACCGAACAGTCCTGCCAACATTTACATAAGAGTGAATCCTGATACAGCTCTCTGCTGACACAATAAATGGTTAAGTATTGAGATTTTTTTTCGACAACTTCAATTTGTTGTATTTGTTCAATCTTCTTCCAGAACCCTTTATTTGTCAAGCATGAGTCTATCTCTGGGTAGACATTATCATTCATTATCTTAGGATGCTGCACAGTTTATTCATGGAAAGAAATAAGCAGAAAAGATCCGCGACAAATCAAATATTCAATGGGATGCTAAAACGCTTTTAGATCCCACTGCATATTCATGTTATTATCCCAGAGCTGAGCACATTTGCCTCTTCTGACTCCACACTATGTAAAATTAGAAACTTTCAAGAATGTTTGCCAGAGAATAAAAAACTGAACCTGGTTCTTACCCCACATTTTCTTGCTCTGCCAACAACGACGCATGGTGCTGTTTAGGGCAGAGGGCATCAGAGATGGAGAGGAGTTCGCTTTCAGGCAGCGTGGGGAGGAGGAGACGCAGGGCCTCCAGGAGAACCTCGGCAGACACCTGACTCTGCTTCACCAGCTGAGATGCAAACTCCAGATCCTGAAATGAAGAGCAGGGCAGAGAGCCATCATAAATACAGATTTCCTCTACTTCTACTGGCATGCACACAGAAGTGTGGGATGTCACTGTATTTTCTCAGGCCACTGATATGTTTGTATTCATATTATTTCTGGAAAAACAGTCTTGAATAAAACCCGACCTGGTCACAGTTTCCATAAAGTCTCTTGAGCTCCATTTGTTCTTTTAAATCTTCCATGGATTGATAGTTGGCAGTTCTTTCTTGCAAACTGAAAACACCAGACAGTTTCAACACCGTAAAATGTAATGGCCTGTGTCCACCCACAAAATTCCTCATTACTTCTGAGATAACATTGATATGACAGCTCACCGCTCAGTCAACAGTGTGATGACCTGACCACACTTGTAGAGCGCCTCCTGGAGGATGGTTGTCATCCTACAGTCCTGCTGCAGCAGAAACACCTTGTCTTCCTCGATGTCCTCCTCGCTGTCTTCAGAGTCGTCTCTGCGTGTTTTATTTGACTCGACTCTGCTCTGAAACATCTCAAGGCCATCCAACTCTGTCCTCTCCCTCTGAAGCTCCTGCTCTGCTTCCTCTAGGCCCTGTAATGAAAGGCTCAGTGTACATCCATACTGCTGCGCCTTTACGTTTGAAATCTTTAAAACCATTTCTGTCTACATGAGCATTTTTGGCTGCAAACACCTGAGAGCACATCTCACGTGACCAGCTGCGTACGGGCATGCACGTGCCAGGGTAAACAGGTAAGCATGCACGTCTCACTGGACAATGGAATTGCTTGAATAACACACATCTAAGCAGCTGTATCATTGTAAAATGCTGACTTTAACAGGGTCAGCAACATGTTTAATTGATTATACATGTTGTGTTCAACACCGGTAACCGAGGCGGATGCCTGTTGTTTTCTTCCGGAAGAGGGTCATGTGATAGGAGTCTGACGAATCAGCAAAGGCTACATAATGACCAAAAAGACCCAATCAGCAAGCAGTTGTGAGTGTCTGTGACCTAGTTTCCAAATATCTCCATTTGGACCACAAAGTTGATGCATTTTCAAATAAAAACGTAGTAATGTAAATGAAGCCTGAACCTTATTATTATGCACCTCAAAGCCCATGAGCAGACTGATGAAGGTAAAACAGTCAAGCATTGCCTACCATGCAGTGGCTCTGTATACTCTGGGCCATGTCTTGACTCTCCAGGCTCTTCCTCTCTCTGAGCTGCTGAATGAGCAGGCTGTGCAGGGTGAGCATGGCCCTGCAGGTCTCCAGGACTTTGGTCCTCCTCTCAGCCTTCAGGAAGTGGATGGCAGCCATCTGAATCGTCAGGTTGTCTGCCTGAGAGCGGAGTTCCTTCTCTCTTTCCCTCTGCATCTCCTCCAACACCTGCCAACGTTACAATGGATGAATCAATTTAAAACACTTGCTGCACTTAGAAAGGACTTGCAGTGAACTGGAGTAACAACAGCTTGAGTATCCTCCTCTTCACCTCATTCATGACAGTGCTCTCCATCTCCTTCTCTTCCTCAAATAGTTGGATCCTGTCCTCGAGCCTTTTCTGAAAAAGCAGCAGGTCGGATTCGTCTGTTTTCTGTCTGGCCTTGCTGGTTTTCCCCTTGGATTGCATATTTGTCTGCAAAAGACCACAATATCCATAAGGTGGTTGGGAAGTGACTCCAACCACACTACTGTGATGTGATTAAAAATGAAACCACTCTATGGAGCCCTTTATTATGTCTGAATATCAATGTGCACTCATCCAGCGGCCACACAATTGAGGCTGAACAGTGTGGTTTGCATTGGTGGTTGCTATTCTCCATTTCTTATTCATAGGACAAAACATTAAATACAAATGCACCATTATCTACTGTGGTAGTTTAATTCACATGGGCTCTTCTCATTGGATTATCTCCAGAACTGTATCAAAATATATTTTTTGAGCATCAGAGCCTGGCAATAAAAAAGAAAAACGTTTTTTTTTTCACTTCAAAATGTTGAGAACAAACATAAAATTTCAAGATTAAAGTTGAACCTTTAAAAATATGTCAAACTTCTAACTTTAGCCGTTTCCAGACATGACCTCCGGAGGATGTCTGCAGAATTGGGTCTAGACTCTCTCCAGAGTTTGCAGGAGATTCGCATTCACAACAGCACAGCATATCGACACCAGCATCAGCCCTGATCACCACAAGCTTTCTTAGCACCCTCATCGGTGTCCTCTTCATGTATGGTGCCGCCTTTTCATCCTGAGATAACCACCACTGTGTTCAGTGCAATGATTAAATAAGATTGGACTTGATAGATGTCTTCCATACAGAACATTCTGTACAATTCAACACTTTTAGCACAACAGTAAGAAGATGAACTTTTAAAGCACTGAAACAGGTCATTTAAATATTTTACCAAATATTGTCACCAGAGTCACAAAGTATCTGACTTTACACATTGAAGCTTTAAGAGTAAGACCAAGTATTAGGAATACATTTACGACTGTGCGCTTATGTGTTTACCATCTGTTTCTCGCTGTCCTTTCTCCAAGCCGCCAGAGAAGTGTGGAGTTTGGTTTTGGAGACAGCATGAGGCAGCACCAGGCAGCGGTCCATCACAGACAGACACTTCTGGAACTCCAGTTTCATCCTGAGCCTATCATCTTCAGATAGAGTCAGCTGGGAAGAACACAAACACCTAGGGCAAAGAGGGATAAAGACGAATGACAGATTACCACACCTGAGTTTGACTTTACATGTCTGTGTTGGAGCGCTTAAAATGTGGAAAAACCTGTGATTAAAATGAAAGAACATAACTAATGTCATTACACAGTATCACTGACCTGAAGAAGGCTCTGGATTGTGCCCTTATCTCCCTCTGCTCCTGCAGCTCTCTCTCCATGGCTTCCTGCAGAGCCTCCCTAGTGCCGCTCAGGGTGCGCAGAGCTGCCTTGCCTTCCTGGTGCAGCCTCTCCTGGCCCTGCAGGAGTGAGCTTGCTCCTTGTCCCTGTGCCTGTACAGCTACTTGCTCTGATTCTACCTGCAGCAGGGATAGGTGCGTCCCTGGAGGTAAGGGCGTTAGCAGGGCCTGAGTGACAGAAGGCTGGATGGCTTTGACTTCTGCTATCGCACCTTGGATCACACGCATGGTCACCTGAAGAACACGCACAGGGTCAAGACGGAGTAATTCAAAGTCAATCCGTATTTGTGTGTGAGTTTTTGGGTGATTAGGTCATGACTGAGTCAGATGTACACTGTTAGAAAAGCACCTTGCGGATGTCAGCAGTAGCCTCCTCATCCAGGTTGTTGATGAGCTCAGCTAGCTCCAAGCTGTGGGCCGTCAGTAGATTCTGCCAACAGTGCAGGTTCTGGGTTACCTCCATGCTTCGCTCCAGACGCTTAGACAGACTGGACAGCTCCTTCTCTCTCTGTTTGTGGACTCTGAGCTGGAGAAGGTGGGAACAGGTTTGAATAAAGGCAACATATTAATTCAGAACTGAGATCCACAATGAATAGTTGGAATTAGACCCTAATTATGCATGATCCCTTCACCATTTCAGTGATGATCTCCCTCCTCTTCTTGATCAGGCCGCAGCGCATGGCTCTCCTCTCTTGATTCAGCGCCTCCTCCAGCCTCTGCCTCACCATCACCAGCTCTTTCTGGGCCTTTTCCTGCAGCTGGTCTATCTGCTCTGCAGGCACTGTGCTCCCTCTAGTGGAGAGAGAGAACATGCCAAGTAAAAAAAAACAAAAATTACATTTCAAATATTTTATAATGCAACTATGTTCAGTCATATTATGACTATTTCAATTTGAGTTGAAGTTGTGATCTTCAGATTGAATTTAAGATTAAAGGCGTGGACAGCGTTTGTTAATATTGCTGGAGACGTTTACTTGGCAACATTTAGAGTGTGGAATATCCTACAATAAGCACTGACCTCCTTATGTGAGTGAACCAGCTGTCCAAGTTGCTGGAGGTGCTAGAGAAGGTGTCAGAAATCAGGCTGTTGAGGCTGTGGAGGCTGTGAACCAGGAACTTCCTCTGTGCGTGGCGTTCAGCCAGAACATAGCGCTGATTGGCAAGGACGACATCCAGAACCTCTTCAAGCTGATCCTGAACAAAGGAAACATCACATTATCAGTGCTTCAGCAAGTGGAAATATCTCAAACATAAAGATACCAAATGCATTATTGGAGGAGGACATTGAAATGGTCATGGTTTTAACCATGTGTCAGTGAAAGTAAATCGATTTAGGGTTCTTTACCTGACAGGTAAAATAATCATGCTGCAGACTCATGGCTGTGCTTTTCTCCAACTCGCCCATCCTGGTGGCCTCCTCCAGCTCCTCAGAGAAGATCTTGTGCAGCTCCACCCGGCGCCACTCGATGATTTGCCTCTGAACCTTTGCTGAGGCTTCTTCATGTCGGACCAACAGGATGCGCTGGAGTCGACTCTGGCTCCGTTTATGCAGCTTCTCCAGCAGGACACTGCACTGCATGACTTCCTACCAACATTACAAATGGTTTACACTATAGTAATTGCATTTAAGAAAATAAATAAATGGAAATAAAAAAAAAGTTTTACTATCTCTTACTTCATACATTATTTTACAGGTAAAACTTTTTTCCCATTTTCCATTTTAAAAGTACTCCTTTTTGTTTTTCCTTTGAGTGACGATACAAAACTAAATAACACAAATAACTTAACAAATGACTCATTGCTGTTACCTGTTGGTCTGCATTTTGACACAGCAGCTCGGCCTGGGCTTTCTCAGCTGCTTCCCTGCGGTGCTCCGCTTCCATTTCTTCCCGAGTCTCCAGGTTACACTGGCCAGCCAGGGCAGCCATGCGGGTCCCTCGCTCCTCCTTCAGTCGGCCCTCCATGCCAAGCAGCTGTCCATGGAGCACACTGAGAAGCCTCTGCTGGGCCTGGGCGGTGGCCTGGCCCCTGGCCCTCAGGCCCCCCAGCAGGGAGGATATCACATCCTTGTAGATCTGAATGCGTGCGGTCTCCAGGTTGTTGGTTGCGTGAAGCAGTGTCGACATTTCAAGGCTTATGTGGATGAAATGCAAAGTAAACAATTTAAACTTGTTGATTGTAGATTATGGTTCAGAATATATTTATATATTATATAAATGCATTTTAAAATGTCTTCCCTTCAGAGGTGAATTCCAAAATTGGAAATCTGACTTTGAAAAAAATCCCTCTTGACTGGTTTACTCACTTCTCCAAAGCCTGGTACATGTTCTGAGGATCCTCTAACACCATGATGTCCATCATCTTGTCTTCAAATGCTGCCTCATCTTTAATTGTCTCGCTCATGTTGCAGTCTGCATACTCCAGGTCTGAATCCCTTCTCTTCCTCTGAGCAAAGATCAAATATGTGCAGTGTATTAATATATCTGAAATAAATCATAAAACAACTAGCAAAATATGTTGACATTATTTTAAGAGAGCAGCTTTTGCTCTCTGTTTATATAAAAACACTTATATACTCATACAGATACTGCAGGTGATGACCAAATGATGATAACAATCAGTTAATATTAACTTGAAAAAATTGACTTTTATGTTTGTGATACCCTTTGCTGAAGGAGGTTAAGCCTGGTTCTGAGGCCTATCAGGTTCATGGCCAGGAACCCGAGTGACAGCAGCACCAAAGTGACAAAGAACCCGGCAGCAAATCCAGCAAAATGGACTCCATGGTTGGGATAGATCTGGAATGGTGAGCACAAACATCAGACTACTCATTAACTCAGTCTTGTCAACAAACAACACACATGTGATGCTTTAAGCTGCAGGTGTGTTTCCAGTGGACCAACAGAATAGGAATATTGTGAGCGCCATCAACTCACTCTGTCAGTGGAGTTCACCCTCAGTGTTAGATTAGCTGTTAATGGACCAAACATACTGACGTCATTCTGTGGAATAGAGAAAACAAAACTTCAGGTAATAACACCCAAAATAATTTGGTTTAAGTTGTGAAATTAAAAACTAATGTTATTTGCACTTCACTTCAGTTAAAAAGAGGAAAAGTGGATGTAGACAATACCTGTGATGCATTAGAAAAAGTGAGAAAAGCTGGAAGGTCCATTATTTCACTCTTATGACTTCTTATGTGAGCAGTGTAGTTGACAACAATTTGAGAACCAGCTGAGGAATAAAGAACAATAATGGGCTATTTTGAGAATACAAATTAAAATAAAGTAATAAAAAGTTCAAGCAAGAAATGTTTGGGTTAAACATTATCCTTCACAACATTCTGATAGACACACTTACCAGACAGGGAATCAATAGCAAATGTCTGGTAGCCTCTTTCCACCACCCTGCCTTCAGTTTTTAGGGGGACTATTCCAGACAGGGAGTCCCGGATAGCCACCTGAGACAGGTTGGTACCACCGACTGGACCCATGTTGTGAATCAGCAGGAAGAAAGTCAACTGAGGAGGATCAGTGTCGAGCTTCACCTAGAGACCATGTGTACAAGGAGGAGAATTAATCACTGCATGTTAAATCTTCATGTTCGTTTGCATGTTAAAGATGATTGAGCAAAAATATATCAGGAATTAAATACACATTGATAAAACAGGCTGTATAATAAGAATATGATGATGAACCTGAGCACACTTGTGAAATTTCACCCCAAATGCAGACGGAGGCGCCACACTCTGAACCTGCAGGAACATTCAAAGTATTTTATAGTTGGTTATTTCTATCATGACACCCTTTAATTAACCATTCTCAAAACTTCTGTTTCAAGAATGGCTAGATAATAATGTGGAAACCCACCTGAGGCAGAGTGTGGCCCGGGTTGAATCTGGTGAGTGTGCTCCTGCGGAACCGAAGGTGCAAGATGTTTGACATGTCACTAAATGAAGAGTAAAAAGAGTTTCCCCATGGACCGGCAGGAGCTGAAGAAGAGAGGGGGCCCTCTGAAGAAAACACCACTGGCCCTTTGAGTTCCATTGTACCTGTCAGACACAGTAGGGTGTTTGAACATGTGTGGAAGTCGGTAAGTAATATATTTTTCTAAGTGTCATCAACATGTGCCCAGCTCGCATGGACACTACATACCTAACAAAAACAAGTGCAGGAGCAGAATCAAAGCAAAGGAACAGATTCATTTTCTTACATACCAAACTGTCACAACTCCGATAAGAGAACAATCCTTCTCTTTAGACATTAATCATATGATCCATAACTTTGGCATTGACTATGTCTTTAACAATTCAAACGTAAAGCACTTTCCTGTGTGAGTAAAGTACAGTAGTGAGGCTGAATATACCAATACATGAATAAATAGCACTTCTATCCACAGAAAGATCATCTGCAGATACACAACACCCAGACAGTGCACTCAGTCATCAATTATGGCACATTTGAATAAAATCATCTTCACAGAGGGTTTAGTTTTGTAGATTACTGTATAGCTGATGTATAAACTTAAGAGAAAGGCACAAACCATCCATCCTGAGCAGTGTCAGCGCGGAAGTTCTCCCAACACGGTCATGTTGCATTAGATTGAGACTGCAGAAACTCTGACCATGTAAAAGAGGCAGATACTATTAAACACAAACATAAAATCTTACATATATCAATCCAATGCCAAAGAAACGTTCACAAAGGTACTTGTAGAGGCCTCTTTTATAGATCTGGTGACAAAACACGCTTCAGAGAAATATAGAAATAAGATATTATCATCTCGGGTTGTGGGATGTGCAGCAGCAGGAGGCTGCTTCTCTATCAGAAGAAGGGCTCTGAGTTGTTGACATGGAAAAGTTTCACTGCTAGTTTTATGAGATACTCACCTCCAGGTTGTCCAACAGAGGAGGAGGTGGTGGGTTCGTGCTCCATGATGCATCCTGACATGTACAGTTACAGCAGGACTGATGAGCAGCACCGTGCCGCGGGCGGTGGTGTGAAGAAGGTGGAAACAAACACGACACTTGTGTGTTTAAGATAAATGAAAGTATCGTGGCCGTCGTCGCGACTAAATGTACCTGAAGCATTCGTACTGTCGCTGTGTCGCTCTCACCGAGGAGAGCCGCTAGCTAACCGGCTACATCCAGAGATGGTGGTTAAACCCACCGAAGCATTTCTACAGCTCTTTCCTCAGAAAACTCCTCAAACAGCGTCTCTGTCAAAAAACAACAACATGTCACTGGTTTGTTAACATTTCAGGAGAAGCTTCAGGCGCCATTTCAGAGATGCATACACGAACACAGCGTCCGCAATCACTGCGGCGGCTCCACTCCTGACAAACTTTTTCCAAAACTTTGGAACAACGGGCATTTCCTCTGAGCTATCAAGAGCCATGGAGTACACACGCTGATTTCCGGTTCTGAATTTCAAATTAAAAGTAGATGTGTTGTCCCGCGGGGTTGTTGGAATTTTTCTGATCTAATACAATCAGAAAAATGATAATAAAACATTAGTTTACCAGGTGAGATGTATGCATTTTTCAAAGTTATTGTTGCCTTCATTTTCTGCCTCGGGTCATTCTTGTGGTTTTATACTGAAGAGCTGATTTCCGCCCTAATGCTCGCCAGCTCTACTGTGTCTGTCCTGCTTTCTGATCCCTGTCCACCCATTGGCTGGAGTTTACACCAACTTTGTCGTTTTGGAGAAAGTGTTTGGAAAGAGATTTCTTAATTCGTCGTCTTTTATTATTTAAACAGTGTGAAGTAGGTGAGAGAGGATAGGATCTAAAGAAGAGAAAGATGCGAGCTAACCGGTTGATGGTGAACAGTGAGGAGGAGCAGCTGGGTCTGTGTTGTTACCATCAGTAACATGTCTCCTGTTGTTGTCAGGCCTTCACAGCTAAGTGCTAACACACACTTTCCCCACAGTTTGTTGAGTCCAGTGTGAGATGACGGGACACGAAGTGGCGGATTGTGGCGTAGATGTCACGGTGGTCTTCTCCGAGTCTCTGTACGTGTACACGGATCTGCTGAGTGTGGCCTCGGTGTGTGGGGGACTGTGCGGAGTGTTAGCTGCTGCTCTGCTCTATGTCTTCTGTCTGAAGCCTCTGCTGCTCACCAGACAGGTAGACAACCTGACCTCTCGTTGTAAACACTTTGTATTTCTACTTCACATCTCCACCGTTCTTTACCTCAGGGTTATAACGCGAGGAGGCTGCTGGAGCCTGAGGACAACCACAGTGACTGTGTCAGCAGGAAGGAGGCTCCCCCCGCTGCCACCAATGAAAAGGTACTGTCTATAACATACAGTACATTGATTGAATGATTGATTGATTGATTGATTAACACATGAGGATGATGACGTTGCATTAGATCTATAATGAGCTGGGCAGTAAAACAATCTCTGTGATGATCATCAATAACAATATAACAAAGGGTCAAGATATGTCAATATACTGCAGTAAGGAGGTATAACACATTATTGATCTACCTCAGATTTTTTAAAATGTTTTGCTATTTATCAAAACTTTGTCATTGTCCTGGTCCCGGGAGCAAAAATCTGACTAATCGTATAAATTAAACATTTTTATTGGTAATTATTAATATAAACTGATATGAACGTTTATATATTTTTGGCCCTCTTGTCCAGCCCTAATTTACAGCCATAAAGTAAGGCTAAAGTGCTGGTATTGCCAGTTGTGCAAATTGTTTCGATGTTTGTTTACTTATAAACTTTCCACTAACCATTTATGTTGGTGTACTCATTGACCAGGAGAAGAAGCAGCTGCCTGTGAACAGCGATGTAGCCGCATTTGCATCCAGAGCAAAAGTGGTTTATCCAATCAACCAAAAATACAGAGTAAGTCTGCACACACGTGTTGGTGTAACATGTAATTAAATGTGAGTAGACAAACTTAACATGTTACAATCCAAGGAGCTGCATTAATGTGTAATTAAGTGTGAGCCAATCAGATTCAAGTCAGTATGTAATTTATTTTTCAGAATGTCATGCACCAAAATGGCCCCAGCTCGCATGAACACTTGAAAAATATTTTAAAAAGTACAGTAGCAGAATCAAAGTAAAGGAACAGATACACTGTCAAACATGTAAGACTGTCACAGCAACCCAATTAGAGCACAATCCTTTTCTTTAGACATAAAGACATTAAAAAAGGCTGCACCTTACCATGAAAGTCTTACTTCACTAGTTCTTCATTGGCATAAGATTAAACACAGGCATAAGAATCAATTAAAATATAAATCGATAAAGGTTAACTTAATAATAGGAATGACATGTTACTAACTGTGAGTTATTGAGCATGTTGTATGTAAAGATATCTAAAATACACTCTTAAGATCTAGACATAGAGAACGTAAAGAAAGTGTTTCCTGAAACTGTTCCCTCTACCTGTCAGCCTTTAGCAGATGGAGCATCCAACCCGTCACTACACGAGCACACCAAATTGTCTGCAATGCCTAACGAGGAGTCGTCGTCCACCGATGGAGAGTCTCTGAGCCAAGAGCAGGACAATGATGACAGCAGTCAGTTTATCTCCTCCTCGCTGGTCCCCAAGAGCCTGCAGAACCAGAGCTTCACTCGGGTCTCTCACTACCCTCACACACTGACACAAACAGGGTAGGGGGTTTGTGGTCTCTAAACGTTAATCTGTAATCGTACACATTTATCCACAGCAACTATGCACAAACCAGACTGAATTGAATTATCTTGCTTTCTCTGCAGTTTTGAAGGCAGGATCAGTCTTTACTGTTTGGCCCTGCAGGATGTACAACAGCTTTGTTGTCACCTCCAGGAAGAAAAATACCTGGTGAGTAGATGTAATTTGTTTCATTAACTGTTTATCATGGGGATATAAGGTGTATATGAATTGTTTTTGTATTACTCCTTGTTTCTTCTTATTGCTGCTTCAGATCTTTCTTCAAATGGTGAAAAAAATATTTATCTGCCGGTTTCCAAGAAACAAAAATGATGCTGACTTCTGCAAGAATATTCTTCAAACACAGGAAAAGGTAGAACAGAATGAAGTATTCATTGTATCTGCTTTGTTGTCATATAAATTGTTTATTTTTTTGTATCTGTATGCATAATGCAGTGTTTTTGCAGTTCTGAAACACTTACATTTAGAGTTTGATCCACAGGAAAGTTTAGTTTCTCATTTGTTATTTTAGGAACTAAATGAGCTGAAGAAACAGTCGTCTGCAGGACACACTGCCAGCGAGAAAAATGATGACGCTCCCTGTACATTGGAGGAGATCGAAAGAGCTCAGAAAGATCTCCTTGAAAGTGGACTTCAAATGGTAAAACGTAATAGGAAAAACCCATGAAGTAAATATTTTAAACACCTCTATTTATAGAAAAGAAATGTAATGAAATGTCTCTTTACAGTCCAAAGGTTTCAGCAAACAGGTGGAAGACTTGTCTCAGACTCTGCTGATGAAGTCCAGCGTTTTCTCCAGGGATGAAGCCCAGGATGTCATTTTGTCTCTCATTCAAACTCTTCTGTTGGTAGAGAACCACCTGGTGAACATACAAGAAGCAGAGCTAAGAGTAAGAACTACAAGCTCTTAGTTGGCATAAAATAGATTTGAGATCACAACATTCTTTGAGTAACATGTTTAATTCTCATAGAGAATACAGCAGAAGCTGCTGTGGTGGGAGGAGCTCACTGCGCTCCTTCAGTCCCAACCTGCCCTGCTCATGCGGGAAGTGTCTCTGAGGCAGAGCTTGATAGCCACTACACTGGAGCAGCTGACGAGCGATGACATCTTGACTTTTAACCACATGGAAAAGATACTTTCAGAAGTTCAGACTGCTCTAATGAAAGGCCTGCAGCAGTGCACTGAGGGTGAGACATGTACAATCAAAATGGTTCCTGCTATAATACATTTTTTTAGAGTTACTACCAGGTAATACGAAACAGAAACAAAAGATGGTTGCCATTTTGCAGTGAGCATTGTTGCAGGACTGTGATTGTAAAAGTGAAAAAATAGTGTTTGGTTATAATCTAGGAGTTTCTGGTGGCAGGTAGCAGTGGACCACGTCTAGCCTACTTTTCAAACTCCAATGACGTACTCTCAAAATAGACCATTTTGTCTTAAGCTCCTCAAATAAGGTCAGGTTCTTTCAGGACACCACTGAATAGCATGTCTATCAGTGCATTGCAGACTCTCATGCTACATCTTTCAGCATCAGACAGATTAAAAAGACTTGTACCGCTGTACTACAGTGTACTCAAAGACACACAATACTCTAAAAGTCCAGCTTTATTGTTCCAGAGTGCTTGAGGAAGACAAAGGAGCTGGTGAATGACAAGTGCTGCAAAATGGAGTCCAAGCGGAAGAAGCTTCAGAGGAGCCAGACTAAGGAAAAGACTCGCATCCTGGAACAGACACATTCTCACAGTGACCTACAGCAGCTCACCAAGGTCACAACATTTAGCCTCTTTTAAATAAATATGACAATCAGGGATTACTGTTATATAACTCATCGGCCAAACAACTGGATGGAGGTTCTGAGTTGTATTAGTTTAGAAGTGTGATGCAGTCATGAGAGCTGTCTGGTTTATAATTGTCTCTTCTCTACTCGTAAGACCATGTTAATCCACTGGTATCTAAATGTGAACTGTAACTGGTCCTGCAGGTTTATCAGGAGCTGCTGGTCAAACACAGGCTGCAGATTTCTGATCTGGATCTGCAGCAGGAGAACAGAGTGGCTGAAGCTCTCTGTGACCTTTGGAGGGTAAAAAATTAAATAGTGTATCATTTTGAATTGTCTGAGCGTGTGTTTATATATGTCTTCTACTCTTGAATGAAATCTTCAGAAACTCCGTGCCTCCTGGTCAAAGAAGCTTGGGGAGCCAGCCAAGGAAATCTTTCTGGCCTCTGTCTCTGCTCAGTCTGAACTCTCTGCTGAGAGCTGTGAGAAGCTGTGGTTGAACCTGGAGCAGGAGCTGGTTGCACAGCTGCAGCAGGCAGAGTGCTCTATCAAGCTGCAACTGGACGACATGAGGGCTCAGCTGGATAAAGATAGACAAGTAGAAACACAGTGGATCAGACACATTAAATATTTTTTATCTACATTTTAACTATTCTGTTGTGTGGCAGTTTGATTCTTTCAATATTTAACTTTCCCACTGCCTGTTTTTCGGAAGGGGTGCAGTGAGGAGATGGCTCAGGCTCAGGCCTGTCTCAAACATCTGAGTGAGCAACAGTTGAAGATTCTCCAAACCATGGTGGCCAGACAGAGCTACACGATCAACAGGTGAGATGTCAGCATCTTAAGCACCTTAATTTGTGAAAAACCTGTTGAAAATAAAACTGAATTTGCACTCATAGCAGATTTCCAATACAACTACAGTAAGTGAGCATATCTGTTTATATCTGAATCAATGTTTATGAGGTGCTTTAAAATAATGCAACATGATCCTGTCCTCAGTGAAGAGGGGATGCTGTTAGAGAAGAAACACAAGCACCTGTTGGTGGCAGTGCGGAGGTGCTTTGTGGTCAGGCACTTCAGTCTGCACATGCTGAAGGAAATGAGGCTGTCCAAGCTGAAGGGGCTCTCTCAGACTGACTTCAGAGCAGCGCTAATGGAGGATCCCAGTAAAAGCCAGTTCTGCAACAGTTCAACTCACAAGGTGGAGAAAATAAACACATGCAAACACAATGTTTGAGTCTGATAATTCATGACAGAATCTATCTTTAGTGAGAATTACATTTTGACTTCTTCTTTTAGTTATTCCTCAATAGACGACACATACACTGAGGACTCTGCAATGTGACTGATTGAAAGAACTTGGTCTAGGCTCAAATGCTTTTGTTTCTTCCTAATGACAGAATAGCAGTGCCAGCCTGGCAGAGAGGCATCTGGGTCCAGAGAGTCAGCTGGTGGGCCACAGCTTCCAGCAGGAGTTCCTTTCTGAACTGGAAACAGGAATGGAGCTGCTTCAGAGCCATGCGCAGCTGGTGCTCGGCAATGCCCTCAGCCAATCCATCCAGCAGATGATGGAGAAGGTGCCCACAGAGTCCCTGGCTTCTCCGAAAACAGATAGTAGCTTAAAGGTATCAAACTCCTGTTCGTATCAAATTTCTGTTGTGTGTTTCTTAAGCTGCATGTACTACATGTACTAAACTCCGATATAAATTAAACTAACGCATGTCTTTTAGAGGCGGAGTTAATATGTCACGTCCTGCCCCCTGCATGCAATTCATGTCTGAAAACAGCTTCAGATTAGTTTTCAGGTAAATCGCAACCTTTGCTTTTCTCTCACTAGCACCACCTGATAGAAGCTGTGTCAGAGAGCGTATATGTCACCAAAGATTCTCTCACTACACTGGTCCAGAACTACTATTCCCAATTACAGGACATTACCAAAAAACTACAGCAGGATCAGCAAAACAAAAACCAAGGTGAGAGGACAATTCCAACACATGCTGTTTTGTGATCTGAGTATAATGTTTATAAAACTTTTTATTTTTTCATGTAGACACCACCACGAAAATACTAAAACACAGCATTACAAGTATTGATAAATACTGTGTGTTAACTCCACTGTTAACTGTAAACTTTCCCCTCAGAGATGAATGAGCAGCGAGAGAGCAGCAGTCAGCTGAACAGAGCCTTGCAAAGGGAGCTGGTGAACTGGGGCAAAAAACCCATGTCCGCTGAGTTTCAACAGAGGTACAACAACCCCTGCAGTGCTGGTCATTTTTGTGGAGTACTCAGTCTATCTTACATCAATATAGCACCATTTATTTTTCTTCTTTGTTTTTGTGTGTATTAGGGTTGAACATCACAAAAGGAGGGTGTTGGAGCTGAGTGATCAGCAGCAGGAGATGATATACGAGGAACTGAGGCAGAAGAAAGTGGCCCAAGATGAAACCATGGAAAGGATCAAAAAACAGATGGTGGTAAGTCTGCTTCAGGTCTACTGTGTTTCTGAATTAATGAATGTATGTACTATCCGGCACTGTTATTGTTTGTCAGCACTGTGTTACTGTCTCAATTAGGAGGCAGAAGAAAGCTTTATAAATGATGTGGCGGACTTGGCGCGGGTTTCACTCCACAGTCCAGAACCAGAGCCCAGTGATGACGTGGACAACCCCGGTAAGAGACTATCCCCACAGAATAACAGTATAACTGCTTTCAGACATGCACTGATCTCTGATCTGAGAACACAAATGTCCAATCAGTTGTACCGGATATTTACTCTATCTGCCGGCCCACCAGTAAAATGCCTGGAAACTATCTGAGTGGGCCCATGTGAGAATACAGCAGGATGTCTAATGACAATGTGCAGCAGCATTTATTTGTTATGTTCTGACTCCTACATGTTCCAGAAATGTTCCCATTGTTGTGAATGAGTCTGATTGAGACAATCTCCCCTACTGCATTCTTCATATGTGAAAGTCAAACCCAATTGAGAAAACTCAATGAAAACTGAGAATTTTGTGCCACTCCCACATTACCTGACCTCTGCTATGTTGTATTTCTACAGGTGACCAAAGTGGCACAATATTGGATCTGCTTGCCCTGAACCCAGCATTAGATCCAGCATTGAATCCTTCACTGACTCCAACTATTGTAACACCAGTGGTTAAATCAAAACCAAAGAAGAAAACAGAACAAAAGTCCCATCTCAGCTGAAATCATATAATGCCAATGTATACATGTTTTTATGGTGAACTATGAAAAGATTCCCTTATTTTTCTAGTTTATTAATGAATAAAACTTCATTATTGTTGTTGTTATGAAGGTGCTTGTTTTAAATGTTTAAAGTGTTTTGCTTGAAGTAAGTTATTAAAATGTAGCAGTATTGACAAAAGCAATAAGTCTATATTATTTTAAATGTCTTAAATAATCCAACCCTGAAAAACAATGTCAAATCAGATTATCTTTTGAATACATAATTAACTTTTTGTACTTTGTCACCTGGTATAAAGAACTATCATTGTCCTATATCTTAACCCACATTGCTTTTCATTCCACGGCTGATTCACTGCATAGATCCCCATTGATTGCTGAGTACATGGGATGATGGATGCACTCCTCTGTGAATTGTCAGATGAATTAGAGTTGTCTGTTCAGATTTTAGCAGAGTGCTACTACTCAGCGATGAAAGCCTTGCCCTGCTCTTGCTCTAATGGGGTTTTAAGTACACGCCTTTATGGATGATAATGCAGAGTAATGGCAAAAGGTCTGGCACACACTTGTGTGTCCAGGCAGCAATCTAGCATGCAATTCACCCTGTGTCTTATGGTTTGCTGTCAGTTTAGACTTTTAGGAATGTCAATTAGTGAACATCAATTTTTAATCTGACCTTTATTCCTAAACTCACCTTGCAAGCATAACCAATTATTGCTGTGGCACCCTGAGAAAATATACTCCAGAATTGGCTTCGCTCATACACACAGGAGTGTCCTGCTGAGAGAGTGTCTCTCCTCCTGTGTATCTGTTAGAAATGTGGGTGTATTGTTGACTTCCGGAGTGTTCATTGCTGATCTTTGGTGAGGGGAAACCGTTTGGATGTATTTTGAGGTCCCCGAGGGCACTGCAGGGACTTGTGGGAAGATGACCTGATTTCTAATTTTCTCCTCTGCTGCCTGGGCTGTGGGCTAGTCGCTGCTACAAACACAGGAGCCCATGAAACGAGTGTGACAGCATGAGACGACCTGGATCTATTTACGCTTTTGGCTTAAAACTGGATGTTATTCGTCAGTGTTGATGGATGCAGGCGTGGTTGTAATTGTCTTTGGATAGATTCAGGTAAGGGTCAATGCTCCATTGAACCTACAATTTTAATAAGACGTTGACAACCCACATTACATGATAATGTCTTTATTATTGTCCAAGCTGATAAATAGTATTCGATTGTTACACCTTTTTAAAATTGCCTTCTCTGTCCTGATTGTATCTTCAGATTGTTCATGTGACCTGATTACATTATCTCTGAGGGTACGTCAGTATTTTCTTAGCTCAGTAAAGTTGTGAGTCTGCCCTGAAGCTGTTAATAGAAATGAGGGGATTAAAAATGTCCAGTGAGGTAAAGATATGCGCAGTGAGACGGCGTCATCACATCAGATGATAGGTTATTTTAGGGCCCAAAATAAGGTCGCTTTGAAAATTATCATTCAAAGAACCTTTTCTATCAATCATTTAAACTGAATGCTTTGACAGTCACACAATGTCGACTAAATACATACTGATAATGAAACCTTATTATATTGTAAACACTTGAAAAGTGTAATTTAGTGAAGAGCTAAAACACATAACCTGGTTATTAACATTATTAAGACACACTATAATGACAGCAATAATAATTATACAGCAATACAAAACAACATCCTCATAATACTATTGCTCTTATTATCGTGTAATATTATACATTTTTGCAACAAGTATCATATTATGAATTTATTACCATTATTATATTTCCAAGAATAAAAAAAGAAATTATTTCTTTTCTTTTACTAAGAGAACAATTTCTTTTTATTAGCACCATGTATTAAAGATTTACTTGCATTTCTCAGATTAGATGTAGGACTTTGCTGCAATCATATTTGTGACTTTTTGTACTCCTTATATCAGTTTTATTTCTTGTTTTAAAGGCCTTTCATATGTTAAGTAAATCTTTTTAAATTTCCTTTTTTTTTTTTTAAGCTGCCATAGAAATACATTTGCTTTTCCTTTCTGACTGCCTTGTTTTTTCCTCAGGTGAGCCATGGCTAACCTGCAGCAGGAATACCCCGGGGTCCTTCTGGGGATCCTGGAGGAACTGGCCAATATGCGCCAGTGGCTGACATTTCAGGACCTTTGTCGCATGGTCAGCACCCGCTTTGACCTCGAGCACCTCATTGAGCTCAGGAGTTTGCTGTTTGCTGCTGCCAGCCGGGACCCCTGTTTCCCAGCCACTCTCTTTAGAGACAGGGTTTCCACCAGGGGCCAGGGGCTTTCACCCATAGGCGTCGCTGCTGACATTGTAACTATCTTCAATCTTATTCAGATGACGGGTGGGGCTACAGATGACATTCAGCCAATCAGAGCCCAGGCAATCCTCCCAGTTGACCATTCCCCAGGCCCCAGTCTGCCTGGAATCCACCAGCTGAACATTTCTGGTCGAGAAAGAGCACGAGCCCACTCTGATTCCGGAGGAAGGCCCATCGACCAGCACTTGCTGATTCCGAAATCAAATTACTCTGCCCGCAAGCGAGGAAGTCTTCCCCCCGATCCCATCTCCCTTGTGTCCTCCCCTCCAGTCAGAGCGAGGGCCGTGTCTTTCGACTTGCCTCACACAACACTCTTGTATTCTAGTGGTCAAATCCCCAACGAGGTCATGAAGAATATCTACTTGCCGTTGGAGACGGACAGTGAGTCTAGTGGAGATTCTGCTCCTGTGGAGGTGTTTGAACCTGAACCGGAGTCGTCTGTTGACCAGAAAAGAAACGTCTTTAGGAAGGACTTCCATAACCAGCCGCCTCTTATACCCCAGGTGACCGTCAACAGTGAGTCTCCTAGTCCCAACATTTTGCAGAAAGGCTTTGACAAACACAGTTTTGAAATAATCCCAAATCCTTACCCGTCACCAACAACAGGCCAACAATTGCCAGAGCAGAGGGCTAAACATGAAAGCCTTGATGACCTGCAAGACTCAACTTATTTTGGACCTGGGTCAGTTGCGGAGTGCTCCCCTCTACACCTGCAACCTCCCAGAAATCAAAGACCAATCTGGAGCAACAAGAGCCACAGTCTAGAGGACCGGTTAGGTTTAGGCAGTGTTGGAATTGGCATAGAATCACAAAGAGGGCAACTTCCCAGGAGATCAACACCTGCTTTGGGGTCCTCGGGAGGTGAGAGTGGGGATAGTGGATTGCCAAGTGGAGGTGATGGAGTCAAGGCTCAGGGAACCCAGACAGACCCACCGGACCCGAGGCGCCTCCGTAGCCTGGTCCATGCTGATCGCCTCTCCTTCATGACCTCATTAGATGACCCAGAGTTTTGTGAGGATGACATCAGTGTAATTTTTCGTTTCTTAGATGACATTAGCATGTGTGGTTCTACAGGAGTCCTGCACCCCAGTGATCCAACAGGGGCCATCAACCAGGACACCCCTGAGGCCAGACGTGGCCGCTTAGGTCAACTTCAGAGGCTTTTCCACTCTTTGGAAAGCAGTGATGATGGGCTGAAGGCCAGTGTCTGTAAGCTGCTGCTCCGTATGAGCCAGATAGAAAGACAACTGGACTCACTGAATGATGTGAAGGCTGAGATTTCCCAGGTGCTCTCTGCTTTGCAGCGTCTGGATGAAAAGATCCAGCAGCCTGTCGGTGGCGGTGGACAAGGCAGCAGCGGGCGATGGCTAGAGCCTCTCAGTGGTGTCTCCTCCTTTATGAGCCACCCTATGACTCCTTCTGAGTCATCGGAACCTCAACCTCTGTCAGTATCTGGGAATCTGTTTCCGGCGACCAGCATGAGTAGTCTGGACTGGAGCCGCTGGAACACTCCTGGGGAGCAAACAGAAAGTGTTACAGCTGATTCTAAGGGGGTGAAAGAAGGGAAGAAAGATGCATCATCTCGTCGTGCCTCCAAAACACAGCCTGAAGAGAAAATAGTCCCTGATTCCAATCAGCTGAAAGTTTCTAACGCTGCAAGAGACTGGACAGTGTCATTCTCAAAAAATAAAGATCGCAAAGCCTCACATGGAAAAATTGAACAGGTAGGGAAATTTTACATTTTATATTCTTGAACTGTTTGACCATCACCTCTTAAACAGATTTAACTATAATCCAGTATGAAGGCAAAAATATAGTATGTGCACCGTATGTATCCATGGTTCAAACTTTTGCAGTTTGTTTTTTAGGCATGGCTGCTGCACAGCTTATCAATTCAAACTATTATGCATGTTTGATGGCCGTATTTAGCTAATTAATATTGTTTACATTGCCCTCCAATAATTTAAAAAGTAACACTTTTAAAGGTTTTATATACAGTAATCGAAAATATATGCTTGGCCCATTTTCCTTCTAGACCGATCAGTCGAGCAGCACAACGAACCTCCTCACCCGTAAGTCCTCCAGTCTGGTGGAACAAGTGTTTAACTCATCCCTGTTCCGCCACAAAGACAGCAGTCTGACAGGGGGGCTCACCTCTGGGAAGACTAAGGATCCCAGACTGGTTGAGGGGAGAGGGCGGCCCATCTGGACTGTAGATGACAGAGAGGCACGGATCTCCTCTTTGGACGCACAGGTAAGAATAGCTGACTTTTAAAGGGATAGACTAATTTAAAAAAAAAACATTCTTGTATTAATTATCATATTAGGTCAGTGATTTGAATCTAAAAATAACTAAATTGGGTTTGCTTTCTGCATTTTCTTTTGATTTTTATTTCTGGGAATAAGTGGCCTAGCATACATGCATCATACAGATGCAAGGTAAGTAAGTGTTAACAGAATGGTTTAGATTGTGCTTTGTATTCAGTCCATCTGGGTTAATATTTGGTCTAAAATGCTGTAAAATAATGGTTCCTCAGGCCCAGGAGTCTCTAAACCCCAACAACATGGAGTTCTGGATGGACGACATCTACACTCCAGGTTACGATGCACTGCTCAGGCGCAAAGAGGCCAATCAGCGCCGGGCCAAGGTCTGCAAGCTGACTGCACTCATTGCCACTGTGGTGGTCATCATTCTCATCATCGTCATTCCTATTTGTACCATGGGCTCATGAAGACAACCACAGACTGTCCACACTGTTGCCTGTTTTCATTTATCTATTTTCAGCAGCGATGTACTGCATCAAGGAACTTGCACAGTATTCAGATTGAGATTAGTGAGAGTATGACATAAATTATAGACAGCTCCTCCTTACATTTCTCTGCATGCAGTACCATTAGTCATGACTTCAAAAATAAAAGAAGGAACTAAAGCTTACTTTGGAAACACAGAGTTCCTCACTCATGCAGTTACAACAAATAGAAAGTTATCTGCCGTATGAAACCCTTTGTTTTTTCAGTATTTACAGTCATAGATTTCATGATTTATGTTCACGATTCTTTCAGGTTGCTGTATACGGTAGTAATTAAAGATGGTTTTAAATTATTCTAAAATAACTCTTAGCTTAGGATGAACTCATACTGAGTATCATTTCCTTTTTATTTTCTTATTTAATTTTTAGTTCTTATTTTCTGAGAAACTACACTGTTACAGACACATTGTGAATCAGCTTCAGCCTTGAACACTGCCTGACTCCTCTTTGCTGTTCCCTTGGGAACACTACAGGGCTCATTTTACTTCTTTGGAAAATAATAGTTTTATCAGTACATAAGAGTTTTAATGGATTCTGTCGATTGGAGAGTTTTTTGTCTTTTAGTTTAAGGGTTCTTGTGATTCCTTAAAGTAACAGAATCTACAGTACTGCGGGAGCTTAAATCAATAAAAGTGGTATTTTTATAGAGTTTGCTCCCATTTTTCAAACAGGAAAATATGAGCTATTTAATCCACTCTTGAATGTGTTTGGGTGGTGGGACAGAGTGTTTACAAGGTGTCAGGTTTCAAGAAATGGAACATAAAAATGTTGTTGGTGATGAGGATGTTTTGGCTCTGGAGCAGTGGAGGAAAGAGGGAGCCCTTTTCCAGTAAACAAGCTCTAAGTGGGAGATTCCACTTGTAATTCAATTGATGGGATGTTTGGAGTGCACCATATGCACATTATCTTCTCACTATAGACTCACTTGGCCAGAGCTTTTCCATATATCTGCAGACTCACTTAGCGCCAACAGATTCATCTGGCTTCCCCTTACAGATGAGGAAAGTAGACATTCCATTTTCTAAAAACCTCCTGTTACCTCAGGTTTGGTGCCACTCTATAAAATCAACAGGGGGTTCATAGAAAACATATACACCTGTCAAATATAATGGAATCCAAAATGATTGCTCCACAGCATAAAAAAAACTTTATACAGCTTGATGAGTTCAGTTTTTGCTGAGACTGTGAGAAAGGTGTTAACTGAACTCTAAGGTAAAGTTTTAATGTAAGGTACAAGGTTGCATATCCGTACCAACAAACTCAAAATGCCAAGTAAATTAAATGAAACATCTGACAGATATAAAGCATGGTAAGCTTTACAATACCAAAGTTTATTGCAGTGCAAATGTATTGGATTGCATTGCATTTTTAGGTGTTGATGTTATTTTGTCCTTGGCATTGCAAGACAAGGATGATTTTGTTTCCATTAAACAGAAGCACTTTTCTCCCTTTATGGTGCATACACCGAAGTGCATGGAAACTAAGTATCAGTGGGAAAAACTGCATTAAAGTGCTTGTATAGTTTTTGTTAGACCTTTAGACCTAACTTTGCTTTCTGTACAAAATATGCACAGGATATATAGAGGGCGTGTTCTGCTTCAATGCATCTTCCTAAGTAGATGTATATCTGCCAAGTGTTCCCCATGAGGCTGTTTGTGGATCCATTACCCTTCCACTGGTGCCACTGACTAACCCTGTGCTCAGCACAATCTGCAGGTGCTTCCTCTGAAACTTCAGTGCATGAGAGACTCCTGATACTTTTTTCATTCCTGAAATGTGGACCTTGTTGTTGCAATATCCATGCACCTTTTAGAAAGACAACAGAAAATCTGTGAAGTCTTATTCATGCAGAAAACATGCAGGTATCTCAGCACAAGTGAATGTGAGAAACACTTTATATGATTGTGAGTGTTTACGATGATTTATGTTGCCTGTCTGAATAAACTCAACAAAGTGGTACATAGACAGTATGTTGTCTAATATGATAAATAATAAATTAATTTATTATAAACATGCACTTAAAACATTATGGTGAAAAAAAATGTCTTGAAAGGAAGTGCTTTGATTTGCGATATAATTATTTCAAGCTTTTCTCTTGGTAAAGTGTTTGGTTGAATATACTCGCAGATAGCAAGTACAATGCACTCAGTATATAAGTGCAAACAGTGATTGGTGTAAAAAGTGAGTGATGGCAGTTAAATGATTTGTGACTGGAGGAAATGTACACACAGAGATTAATAATTGATAAAGACAGAGAGCGCATATTGACTGACAGATTCTATTATCTCCAATCAACTCTAATGGACCTGCAGTATTCACAGCACACACACATTTACTGTTAAATCCAACAACCAATGTATTAATTAATCATAGAGGTAAATAATTTACAGTCAATTGTTGAAAAACTCTGCATGTCTATTTTACATTACATATCATTTAGCTGATGCTTTTATTCAAAGCGACTTACAATAAGTGCATTCAACCATAAGGATACCAACCCAGAAAAGCAAGAATCATAGAAGTACATTAGCTTCAAAAAGCCAAACAACAAGTGGTACATGTAAGTGCAATATATAATATTTATAGTTATGAGGGCCAATTATGGTTCAAGACCATCATTGTGGGACATTTAGACGTGTGGACATTTTGGCTGGTCCTCACAAATTCAACAGGCTGTTTAAAGGGTAAAGACTTGGTTTTATGGTCAAGGTGAGAATTAGGTTCTGGTTCAGTTAGGGTAAGGGTTAGGGTTAGGTGTTTAGTTGTGATGGTTAAGGTTACTGTGCATAGACTGTTTGTATTTAGGCTGAGTACTTTCTTTTATTAGGCTTCTCTGCTGGAATATTACTGTATTAATGGAACTTGAGTGCTTTGTTTGTGCTGTTTTTCTTACCTAGGATTGTGTGACTGTAGGATTTCCATTTCACTCAGGTGTTTGAGATAGCTAGAACCAGTTTGAGTTAAGGTTGCTTGTATTTTATTCTAATTCTGTCAAGTTCTAATTTACTTTCTGCCTGTGAGGTAAATAGACTTAATCAGCCTTGGTAAAATTAGCAGATATTTGCTCAACTCACCTCTTCCTGGTTAAGGTGGGAAGTGTCACTTGTTGTGAGTTTCAATCGCTCGGCCATTACCACCAGGTGCTTTGTTTGACTCATTAGCAGTGGGTGTGGTCAGCACAGCTGTAGCCAACCATCTTCAACTCCATGTGAACCGGCTGTTTCCCTAACTCTCTTAAAGAGGCAAGAGTGGACCCGCTCCTCTAGAAACCCACCCTCAACCCGTCTGAAGAAAACAACTACAGACCTGTTTCTCTTTGGACAGCAGAAAGTCTACACATCTTCCGCCGCAGACTAAAGACACATCTCTTCCAACTACACCTTGGTTAAGAAGATGATGGTCTAATAAACATAGTCAACTCTGACATTTAAAACAAATAAAAGTTAGATGCACTTACAGTATTTATTGCACTTACATGTAGCACTCATAGTTTGGCTTAATCTTAGGGTGAGGGGCTAGGGAATGCATTATGTCAATGAGTGTCCTCACAACTATAGACAGACGTGCATGTGCATATGTGTGTGTGTGTGTGTGTGCGTGTGTGTGCGTGTGCATGTGCTATCCTCGTTGAATACTGAACATTGAACACAGTAGAGCTGTTGCTCCTAAATATGCCATCCGTGGCTGATTAATGATGCTGTTGTGTCCATCCTATGTGCCAGGCCCACAAGAACAGGACACATCCACAGTGTTTCAGAGGATGCTGTGATTTCACACAGAATGAACCCAGCACTGCAGTGCATATTTTCATACACACTAAGTGAGCAAGATTAACAGACACTAGGATGACTCAAAGGAAATAAAAACTACTCTTATTTGTGCAAACAAAAATGGCGTCTATATAAAAGAAAGAAATTCGATATTACTTATGGTGTTAAGATTCATACCTGACCCAGAAATTATTTGAAGTGCAGGTTCAAACATTTGTTGTCTTTCTATACAAGGCATGAAGAAATACACTGGGTCATCATGATGTATTAATGTGATATTAAGGTCACCAATAAAATTATGTATACAGGACCTCTTTGAAATGGTTATACAGCAGTCCGTTAACTGATATCGAATTGGACAATAGAAAGAGAGATTAATAACATCATTTATAAATGAATATTGTGGTTAGGTTAATTAGAGCCTGTTGAATGTGAGCATGAAGGGTGTTCCCTGCCTCTCCCCCAACGCCAGCTCCATCTTCCACAAGACAATTATGCCCGAGAAATATTTTACTATTGTTTTTTTACTGTCATCACATCAACAGACTCATCACCCACATCTTAACCAACATGACAGGATGTTTTTACAATTTATACATGTATACACGCTGAGACACGTCTGACCCCTCGGTGACTAAAGGTGGATAATAAGAGCAACAGGACGAGTGGAAATATCTCAACATTCCCGCTGCAGTTACATCTCAAGAAGTGTGGGGGCGATAGAGCGCCCGGTCCTCCTCAACAGCAGCCGGCGAGGAAGAAAAGCGGCGGTGATTTTGAACTTTTGAAGAAGAATGTGGAAAGTTCCTCAGACAGGTGTGGCTCCGCTGCTGCTGCAGAGGGAATCAAACTCCTAACCCTGCGTTAGCACTGGACGGCGGGACAGCACGTGTCAGCTGCACTTTCACTGGAGAAACATCGTACAGGTGCGTGTTTTGTTTTCTTCTTTCAGCAGCGCTGACACGAAGCTAACTCATGTCTAACGTAACGATGCTAACGTTAGCGTGCTAAAAGCGTCAGCACAGGCACAGAGACGTTCGTACAGCCGGGACATTCATGTCGTCAATGAACCTGCTGCTTTGAACAACGTTAATAACTCCGCACTCAGACGTGAACAATAAGTTCGTGCTACAAAGGCTAACCTGTAATGATTCACTGCTCATTCGGTGCAAGCCGAGGTGGGAAACCACCGAAACAACAATGCGTGCGATCAGAGTTATATCATCCACATGTTCTCTGTTAGTGTAAGTGTATCTGTGTCTGATCCAGCTGCAGTGAGACAGGATGGAGTCGTCTGTGGTGAACCTGTACAACCAGTTCCAGAGTCTCAGGGCTCAGGTGGACGGTCTGAATGAGGGCATTGAACCACGTGAGTTATTTCCACACTTCGTGTTGGTATTTGTCACTTCAGAAGCATGTCACTGAAACACAGTGGAGCTGTAGTGAAACCACTCTGCTGTGTCATGGTGCTGGTGTTAGCAGCACTAATATGTTGGTTTTTATACTGTTTGAATACCAACCAGTGTAAAGTGGTGTGACTGATTAACCATTGAGTGAATGCAAAAACAGTATTCAGTATACGGCCTCTGTTTTATTAGTTAAGTCTGAAAGGTCCTGTATAGTAAACATTTCCATATCAAAAGCCCAGATAAAGCCATTCACTTCCACCAAAGCACTGATACTTTACAACAGGGCACTTTAGTCTTGTGCTTTGTCAGGCAGTAATTTGCATCATTACAGCCGTAATGGCGACCCACTACACATAACTACTATTACTACACATAATAACTGGGTAAATACAATATGGTTCACAGCAGCAATATAACGTTTTTTCTTCCATGTTATATTCAGAGTTCCTACAGATGGCAATGAACTTTGAGGAGTGCCGTAAGAAGTGGCTGCGGGCGGGCGAGGAGCTGGTTTCCTGTCAAGAAATATTGGCAAAAGCGGAGACTGAGAGGGGAGCACTGGAGGTCAAACTAAAGCACGCTCGCAACCAGGTGGATGTGGAGATCTGCCGGCGGCAGAAGGCTGAGACAGTCTATGAGAAGCTGGTTAGTGTACCTGTGTCTGTAGTTTACATGCCCTTTCATTCACTTGCTCTATTGTTTGAGCTCTAGTACATAGTAATATAGAAATGGAAATAAGAAAATGTATCTTTAAATGATGCAATGGTGCAAAGTTTTCTTGGTAACATTTTTTAAGTGATTTGTTGGCCAACAAGTAACTATTCATTGTAACGACATGTTTGCCTGTTGCCTTATTTCGTGGGTGTAATAGGAACGTCAGCTGCAGTTGATCAGGGAGCTGCTAATATCAGACAACGGTAACAGTGTCCACCTGAGCGAAGAGCAGCGCTCGGCCCTGGCCTTTCTCAGCGCTCACTCCCAGGCAGCACAGGCTGCTAAAGGCAACCTCAACTCCAGCCGAAGGTCAGACACTCCTATTCTGGTTGTGAAACAGTAATGATGAGGCTCATGAGGATTGTAGATTTTTCAAATAACCAGGTTGTTTCCTCTTTTCGTGATCGTTTAGTTGTCTTAAAGACTGTAGTGTAGAACTTTGTTTAGCTACACTGTGAACCGTATATAGGTGTAGAATGCTGTGCATACTGTCCACTGTAGAAAACAGAATATTAGTTCCTATATTAGAACTAATTATTGTGTATATACTGTACTACTAGTTTGCCAGAGCAGAGAGAGTGCTTTTTTTCCCCGCTAACATGGATACTGGGGGATTCAATTCTAAAAATCTATTTTGCAGGTTAACTAAGATTGATGAATCGGCTTCTTTGCTATCGGACATTAGCTACGACCAAACGGATGACTCTCTGGTATATTGACCTATTTTCCTGTATATATATTATGAGAACTCCTGATTTGAGGTTCAAATAGTGGGAAACCAGTGTTCATGAACATTGACTAAGTACTATGGTCTTTCTCTGGACTTTTCTTCTAGGACTGGGACTCCTCTGTGATGAAGACTGTGAGACTGCGGAAACGGCAGAAACGAGTAACTGATTCCTTAACTCATATTTTCTTTGTTCACATCAATGATAATAATTTCATCATTTGTTTCAGGGATAAATGTGGTTAGTGTTCTTTTTCTTGCTTTTAATCAAGCCACAAGAAAGTGTTATTTAAAGTTAAATTTCTATCCACAGCGTTCC